GGCCCTGGTTCCGTGAGGATCGTCAGGGCGGATTGCAGCGGATTTGTGGGGAGAGCAATCCCAGGGGGTCTGGCTTTCTTGGGACGGAGGTGAGAAATGCACAGTTCTCCTTTGGGAATTCGGCGCCCGGCTGGCCGTTCCCCCAGCAGGGGAGAGAGCAGAGGCAGCAGTCCTGTATTCTGGTACCCGAGAGGAAACCCCAGTCAGCCCCGGATCCACAAAATACGTGTTTGTTCCGCACAAAGGTGCCTAGCAGTGTGCGAAATCAATGTTAGAGAAAAAAGTAAATGCACTTTATATTTCACTGATTTCACCCTAGCAACGCTATGTATGATTAAAATGTTTTAATGTTTAATGACCCAATACAATGTATTTAGGGTCAAGTTTTGTGCCCCTGACGTCAGGACACATAGGAACAAGATCTGATCCACTGTATTTTCCTCATAGTTTAAGTTAAAAAAATCTAGGACTAAGTGTTCAGCATCAGTAATCTGGCCTTCCTCTTCTGATTCCTCTGGATGTGCTATGTGCTAATTTACCTGAGCTGATCAACCAGTTCTAAGTTTTAAACACAGAAGGCAATGCTCTAATTTTTTCCTAGTATGGATGGCAGGAGCTGTTCAAAGTGAAAAATAAACATCACTAAATAATCACCAATGCTTAAATAGCATTCTTAAGAGTAAACAGGAAATATTTCTAGTCTTATAAGGACCAAATTCTCACTGCTTCCTTTAATTTTTCACTTCTCTGTGAAATGCTGATATTCTTGTTATTCAGAAGGTTTCATTTATTTTGCCTTTTACAAAACATGCTAACATTGTACCTTTCCCAACGACCTAAATGACCTAAAGCAGATGACCTAAATTTAGAAAAAAAAATTGAAGGTTAAAAAACAAGTTGTTGTTTTTTTCCTGGAAAATCCTTCAGAGAGCAGTGATTGGCCACGCACCTGCTGCAGCAGAGAGTTGCTACATGCAGGCAGGTTTAGTTTCAACCAGAGTCAAAGGTGGTTTGTAACTGAAGCAGGAGCAAGCAGCTTCCACTGCTCGTGTCACGACTGAACTCACGTCAATGTCACACAGGAACAGCTGCTAATCAAAACGACATCACTGACACTGACATAGTCATTGTCAGTAAAATGTGGAACTGAGCTCCCAGGAAAAATCCTAGCACTGTGTAAGTCAATCAGAAAGTTCAGTAGGAATCTGTGGCTCCAGTTTGCTTTGCGAAGAAACAGTCCTGCCATTATTCTGCTGTTTGATAAGCCTATTGAGCCAAGATAGGCTTACTCTAGTGATGAATTACCTATGTTAACATTAATGTGGTTTAGAAACTACTTTTTGTAAATAACAAGCTTCTCCATCCTGTATCTTACAGAGCAAATTTATCCCAGGAAACTGTAGAAGGAGACCTCAGGGGTGTGTGAGGATACACGGTGTTACAAATGAGATCTGTGGGATTTGGGTTCTTTCAGAGTCTGTGGGCACACCTGGGGTTCCTACAATCAAGTATCTAAATCTTCCCCTCCTGTTTCCCGGAGGAACCCAAGGAATGCAAGGCCCTAAGTAGAACTGTGTGTAACACTGTTGGCACATACAGAGCTACAAACTGGCTACGGTAACTTCCAGCTCTGTTTCACCTCCCCACAAGCAATAACATAACTTGTGCTCCTCTTCCATTCCCGCTTTTTCTATTTTTTACTGCTCACAGCTAGAATTAATTCCCTCAAAGCAGCTGGTCTGTGTTTTCTCTAAATCACTAAAGGAAAATATCCACAAATAATACACATGAATAAAACCGCTTCCCTTCAGTTTTATTCCTGGATTTTCTTTTTCATTACATATTTTTCTGTTTCTCTATGCTAGAATCCGAATTTCCTTTCCTGCAGCTTCTCTGTCCAAGTTTGTTCTTCATTCTCTCCTTCTACTGACCAGACTTCTGCAGTTGGAAATATACTGTCCAGCTGTTTATTCCAAAAGTGCTTAATCCCTGCTGCACCTGCTACAGCTTTTAGCATTAAAATTAATTTCTTAACAAGAGGTAAAACGATTATTTTTTATGCTTGTAACATTTCTCTTTACATAAGAACCAGAATTTAATATTCCAGTCGTGGGTAATAATATCTGAAAGACATTGCTTCAGTAAGCTCTTAAATATGGGCCAATAGGGTATAAATTATAATATATAAACACATAATCTAGTGGATTTATTGTCAGGACCAAAAGAAACAAGACTCTAAGAATGCACTTTTGGGAGATGAATAAGACATTCTCTGTTTGCCACTAGGATTGAGGTCAATAATATCCACTTTAAAGCAATTAACCCTGCAGGATAAGTGACGTGAAAATTATCATGCTGAAAGGCTAATGGGCTATTAAATCCATCTTGCTTCACCACTGATGGGCACACAGAATTAATCCTGGGATTAGGTATATCGGATGGGATAAACTGCTACCTCACTTCATATTTGTATGTGAAGGGTTTCCTGAAAATGCTAGCAAAGAACACAGCCACAACATTCCCTGATGTGCTCTACTCAAGGTTCAGTGCACTGAGCAGAAATCAGTGTGTCTGTGCCTGCCCTTATTCAAGCAGTAGCTTTTTGTTAATGAATAGATGTGTTTTGGTAAGAGATCAGAACAAGAGAAAGTCATTGTAATGGTTATATAAATCATGCTGCCTGTTGGCAGTTATTTAAATCTGGACAATCCAATGCAAGAAAATGGTCAGACAAATATGATTGAATTACAACATTATCTTTACTTGCAATGCCATTTCCCTTGGACATTTCCTACCCACTGCTATGGCATTAATGTAGTAAGAAAAGGGGAATTATGGAAAGCCCTGCCTTTACCCTTAACAGCTGTGAATAAGAAACTGACCTCGCATAAAGAGAAAGGCAGTCTCGTCAGCTTGGATTTTTGTAATTTTGTAATGAACAAGTTAGCGGTCTGTATTTTTTTCATTTCATCTTTTATTTGTGTGAAATACACCTAATTCATTTGGAGGAATATGGGGTAGGGGATGCTTTTCAGTCACCATATGATTCTCTTCCTGCTTTCCAGATTGGCCAGTGATGTTGAAAGGTTATCAATATTTCAGCCTTGCCCCTTTATTTGACACAGTTCTTGAATTCCATCGTGCCTTGAGTGCACAAGATCATATTCCAGTTTGTAATCACAGACTAGGCAATGGAAAGAACATGCCAATATACAGTTGCAGTGAAGGCAAAATATCTGTCATAGGAATGCATATCTTGTATGCAAGGCAAATGCATTTAATTTTTATGATCATCTTTACAGTACGTTTTTAGAGAATGTGCCAATGTTTCTGTTACTGTTTTTTGTTTTATATTGGTTTATCTATACAACCCTGTAGTTGAATGATGCTTTGTAAGCTGTCATAGAAGTTTTGGTAAAATGATTGTTTCATGCATTCTTTCAGAGGAACATGCCAGAGGAGAGTGGAACCCTTCAAACCACAGAGTACATTCATACTTGATCCCGTTACAGCAATAGAAATGCAATGGTAAGTCATATAATATTTTATATTTGCTGGAACATCCCACAGGAATGTTGGCAATGCACAACGCAGCCCAGAGTCTATGGGTAGAAGAAAAGTTGTGGAACTGATATGAACAAAACAACAAGGATGCAAAAAAACCCATCTGTGGGACACAAATGTGAAAGACAGAACTCAGTGGTGGTAAGAGAGTTCAACTCTTCAACTCCTTTGGTTCTAAATTAGAAGAGGGAGACAGAATTTAAACAGACATCTAAACCCCCACAGCTTCTGTAGTATTTGGCTACATGAAGTAATGAACCAGGAAATGCTCTCCCAGCTCTCTGAGCAGGAACAACTTAATTTTCACATTAAACTTTAAAGACTTAAGTTATTTCTTGACCTATAAATGAGATTTTTATTTAAAACCCAATGTATTTTGAAGTTCAGTTCTTCAGTACCATTTCCACTTGATGATGAGCATTCCTTGCCTGTTTTCTGTAAAACTCCCATGGGAGTGAAGAGAGGCCTTTGTTGCTTTGCACTAATGAATCTAAATTATTGATTAGTCAGTCTAATTTGTGGAAGCTGCTGTTGGTTAGTGCTGTCTTAGAAGTGCCTTAGATTGGGCAAAAAGAAATAATTTCACACAGATCTTCAGTGAGGGAAAGACTATTAAAATAGATAGGAGAAACAGCATATTCAGCCAGTGTTCTTTTATTTGCCCACACTTTACAAAACTCACATATTCTCCTTCATACTTCCCTAGAATTTTATTTATTTTAATAAACATTGCTTGAGGGCTGATTTGGGGAACACTAGAGTAGAATTAACTGTTCTGAGCAGACATCTTTCAGTGCTCATGGTAACTCTGATCAGTGTCTAAAACTGGAATCTAGAAAACAGATCCATAACTTCCCAATTCTCTAAGCAACCTGATTATATAAAGAATGAAAAAAGACAAAAAGAAAGAGAAAAGGTGCAGAGTCACAGTTCCCAAGACAAGTCACGAAATACCTGTCATGCACTGCATGATCTGAAACACTGAGATTGTAAATCAGTGACTCCAATGGAACAATGTTTGAGTCTTGCCTGATAAACAAAGTTTTGTACACTCCACTGCACAAAGCAATGAATATAACAAGTGTCAGAGTAGCTAAACATCATGGAAACACCCATTTGGACTTGAAATGGGATGAAAAAGAACAATATCTTCGAGTAAAAAAATGGAGATGGACATAACAAAAGAAGGAAATACAGGAAACACAGCTTTTTGATGTCAGACATTCAACTAGAAGAATACAGAACATAATCTCTATCATGTAAATATGGGAAAATTAAGTTTTGCAGTCAGTCCATTTCTGAAAGAAAATATTTTAAAGGACAACTACAAAAAGAAAACCAATTCTATGAACTTTAATGTAATGTTTCTCACTACTGTAATTTTAAAATCTGAGATGCTGTCACCAAGATTTTTTTCCATTAATCTTTTTGAATTAGTCTCATTCAAACTGCAGAGAGAAGGGCTTTATGACTGGTAGCAATAGCAGATAAAAGTAAAAGCACTAACAAGATGCACAACAGACAGACAGATCCCCAGAGAATGTAGCACAGGCTCTGCAGCTGCACTGAGTGGATATGGATAATCCCTGGTAGCTGCAAATACCCTCTTAGGGGAGGTTTTCTGCAGGAGAAGCCTAATCTCAATCCATACATAGGAAAAACAATACTAAACCTAGTAATGGCTTAGCACTTTCTCTCCATGTCATTTTCTTCAGAAGTACAAAAACAAACCCTCAAGTTGTTGTTTAGAATAACTGGTGTAATAAGAAAAATGAATCCCCTGACACTCAGGCCTCCTGTACCTTCTCTGTACAGCAAGAGCACCTGCAGTGTCTTGCCTTGAACTGTGTTTAACACTGCAAGCCATACTTGTAGTTACAAACAGCTGTGAAAAAAATTAAGATTTCTTTCAAGAATGCATTCTCTGCTGAAGTGGCAATGACAGACATGTCTCTTGGAAACAATGTGTGGGAATTTCAACTGAGAAGGTTGGTTTTGAAAGCATTTGTCAATTAGAAAAACTCTCTTTTAACCAGGAGATAAAAAAGAAAAATCCTTATCTTCATGTGGTTTAACCAAAATGTCTTGACATGAAAAAGAAGCATTTTTCATTATGTGACAGGAATATTTAATTTTACTTGTTACATGTTTAAATAAATTCTCAAAAATCTGAAAAACAACAGAACAAAACCCCAACAATAAAACAACGACCAAGACCAAATGAATAGTCAATGGCATGTTGTGCACAGTAACATTCCATGTACTGGGTTTTGGAAATGGGAAAAGAGTAAGTGTTCAGAACTTTATCACAGCCTGAACAGAACAAAACCTTGGTTTGGTTTGTGGGCAGCAAGAGAATTAATAAATACTCTGAAGCAGCACAGTGAATGAAAAATTTGGGATAACGGCAGAAGAAATAGCAGTGTCTTACTGACATAAACAGAGTCATTTGAGAAATGCACCCCTGATGTCCAAGAGATTTTATACAAATGGAAAAAAACCTCACCAGCAAGGTCCTCTGGGCTACCATGGATAAGGAAAATTGGTGGGGAGAAGGAACCTGGCAGTTAATAAATCATAACAAATATGGAAACAAAAATATTACAGAAGCTGTTAGGAAACCATAGTATTTCTTACAAAGTAAGACTTTCAATCAAGTCTCTTGTAATTGTTAGAGTTTGTTACCCTGTTAGTATAACTTTTTAGATCTCTCTTCTGAGTTTACCCTGACTTTCCTAAACTATCAAGGTTCATTTTATGAATACACAGAGGTCTTACATCCTGCTCCTTTTTGCAAGTGGTTGCTTCAGAGCCCAGGGCTTTACTAATAAAGGTCCAGCTCTGCAATTGTTACAGTTTGATGTGTTCATAGCCAGCTTATAAATACTGCTCTGAAACCTTCAGGTCCTTGTCCCCCCTGCACGTCCCTCTGTGCACAGATATCTGCCCGGATGCCATGGGGACACGTGCAGGCAGGAGATAGAGGGGATGGAGCAGCTTTGTGCATTGCTGCACTACAACTTTGCTGATTAGGAGTGTACACACTCAAAACAGAACCAATTTAAGCAAAGCAACAATTGACAGAGAAAGGTTTCACAGTAATTATTGAAAAGTTTTCATTCATACTGACCTAGGCATTTGCCAGGGAAAACTCTCTTTACACTCCTGGACAGAGATCACCATTCAAACCCACCTGCCAAAAGGCTTAGCACTTCCTGTATTTTCTCATTAGAAACAGTCAGTGAATGTTCAGAGCACTTGTGTTTTGTTTCTTTGCTGCAGCCCCCCAGCATTGCCAGGCAATGCCCACAATTGCCCTCGGTGCTCCAGACAACCAGTATCATCCCCTTATATAATGAAATCCAAATAACCATTTGTCACAGCTCCTTGGAATAACATCTTCATGTTAAATGATGTGTTATGCTCCAAGACTGGAAATTATCTTGAAGCATAAAATTATTCCTTGCAGGCTTAAAAAATTAGCTAGTAAGCGTCAGATAGCTCAGCAGTGTGTACTGTCACTAGCAACAAATCCTTTCTGCAAAAGGGGGAGTTTTTCTCTAAAGGAAAATTTCAAAACTTATTCCAAATTTTATCAAACTTTATTATTTTTGTTGTTATCATTTAATCCCTGATGTTTTTGGTTACTAGGAAATGATGAACATAGTACTCTAATCAAGGGAAAAAATGTTTAAACTTCTTCTTAAATAGTCTGTTTTTATATATGAGATCAACCAAATTCAACCTGATCCATGATCATCTCTTAAACACTTGATCTCACAGCTGAGCTTGCAGTGGGCAGTGGAAACAACCAATTAGGAACTAATTGGTTTGAAAGGAAACTTTCAAATAAATAAACTATGAAATAAATGACCTAATTCTGAAACCTGGGAATAATCAACAGTTTGCTTTTGTGCTTCTGTTCATGGTCTAGATTTCCATGAACTTCAGCAGTCTGCCTGCTGGTCATGCAGCACAGAGCCTGAATCCAAGAAACCCTCCCAAAGGTCACTTGGACATCGTGCCTGCAGTCACAGGACACTGTCAGAGCAAATTCCCAGCAGCTGGGAAGAAAATGTGCAATGCTGTGGGGCTGAAGTGAAACTGGGTGGGTGTGGGCATCTAAGTTCCTTCTAAAGTAATCAGAGCAGCAGTGGAAGCAATAATGAATTGCCATGGGGGGATCTGCTAAGTGTCAATATGAATGTCATCTTTTTTTCTTCTCTAATTGTTGTCTCACTGCCTGATGGCCACAGGTTGTTGGAAACTGCCTGACTGAAAACATGCTGAAATAGCATCACATGGTATTTGAGGTAGGAATTAAATATTTAACATATATCTTTACTGCAAAAGAAACATGAAAGAAAACTGAACTGTGCTCTGATATTATAAACAGAAAATGACAGGGAAACAATTCAAATCTAAACCCATCACCTCCCTAGTAATGAAAACCTAACCAAATTATAAAGTAGCTCTCCCAAGCTCATTGCCACAGTTGTTGCTCAATTAGAAGGTATGTGTACTAGAATAGGAAACCTTCAGACACAGTTTTAGATTAGGTAACTCTGTTTTTCCTGATGGATTATAAAAAAAATTATAAATATTTCCACTTTCCATCACTTGAAATTAAAGAGAATAAGAAATTTCCATTAACTTTCAACTAGCTCAACTACTAAAGCCATTTTCTCTCTGGACTCTCTTTTCCTTCTTAAACATTCTCTGATGCTGGACTGATTTTCACAAATTGTTTTGTTCTGTTGTCATCCTAAGCACTCACCTTTTTGCCAGTAACTTGGAGAATAAAGCTGTGCCTCCTAGTGCTACTGAAATGAACACTAAAGTAACTGGTTTTCCTTAACCACCAGAACTTTTAGACAAATCCTTGCCCTCTGGTGGTGGGAATGCTTCTCCTGGTTAACCCTGCTCTAACATGACTAATTCTGTGACACTTCCTTAGTTTCAACAGTATTTTCTTAATTTTGCAGAACTGCCTCTGTGGAGGAAATACTCCACAAGAACAGGTTTCAGAATGCTATCTTTGAACTCCAATTACTCTGAATTTTCTCTCATAGGTTTAGGTCTAGTGTAGGCAGTGGAGCTCCACCTGTGTGTTTCCTGCAGCCACACTGATTTTTCATTCCATTTGGCTTCATTGTTTGACCTGGCAACATCCCCTGCAGTACCTCAGAGATTTTCATCCCAAATCTGGATACATCCCCCAAATCTGCTGTCTCAGCATGGCAGTGGGTCTCTCCTCACTACCTGCTGTGTGGCACCATTCTCTAGAAATGGTCAAATAAGTGAGAGCAGAACATTTGAAAACTTCCAAACTTTGTGACTTCAGAAACTGATATCCTGCACCAGTCACGAGTATTTCATTTCTCCCTTCTCTAAGGTTGAAAAATTGCCAGGGGCACTTTTCCTCCCCACCCAAGTACAGCCTACAAAAAGCCAAACACACACACTGGCATTGACAAACTGAAGATTTGATTCAATGCTTGGCTAAATATGTGGGAATTATAAAACTACAGAACCTGTTGTCAGGAGCAAAGGATTACAGCTCATTGTCTACTGAAACAACTTGCATTAAACAGTGTTAAGTTTCTTTGAAGGCAGATATCAAAACATTGTTTCAGAACTTTTTTTTTTTGCAAGTTGCATATTTTTAGTATTCAGAAATGCTACATAAATATTGGCCAGGTAATTTAAATTACTACTATAAAAAACATTTTTATTAGAAATACTTACTTACTGATACAATTTACTTTGGTTTCCTAGATAAAGTAACAAAATCAGGTGCTTTAAACCAAAATGGTGCCTTCAGGAAAAAGAGTACTAAACTAAAAAAGTCAGGTAACAACTTACCTAAAAATGTTACTCAATTTAGAAATACAAATGTTGCTCTGATTTATATAAGCATCCCCGACTGAGGGAAAACACAGGACTGCAGAACTATTGAGATGCCCCTTAAAGGGGAGCCCTGAAGCATGTTCAAAACTCAATGAAATTCTGATCTCATTGCAATTAAATGTAAAATTCCTCCAACATCAATAAAATCAAGATTTCTTCTGATAAAGAACATTGGTATAAGAACAAGTGAGCACAACTGGCAATTAACAGTTCCAGAGGTAAAAAATAAATTTTAATTTCCATATCAGAAAAGTGAGGTTCTGTAAGTGTTCCCAGCTGGAGCAACAGGAGCAACAGATTCAATGTGTCCAAAATTAACATGTTTGATTATAAACCTGTAAGTTCAAGAGCACAGTCCCCAGCACAGCTGCCACAGACTGGCAGAACCATTACACTTATTACACAGAAATAGCCAGGGATGGTGGTGTTTACCTTCTCCCTAAGGGTACCCTTTTCCCAAGGAACAGCAGCCCAGTCTTTATGTGCACCACGAAGAGCTGCATTGCAGGGTGCCTGTGATTCAGGAATCACCAAGTGCCTTCAATAACGCTCTGATTCTGTCACACAGAGCAGCTGTTCCCACTCTGCAGCCTCAAACTACAGCAGGGGCTATTTACTGACCAACTGGTGAGCCCTGGATCTTTAGTTTCTGAGGCAAGCTGAAAAGGGAAAAATGCAAAACTAGTGCAATTACATCTGGGGAATTGATTTAGAAAGAAAAAACCCGTGTGTCCTTGTTGAGAAGTGTTTGCTTCTCAACACTACATGCATCTCTCAATATTAAACTTCAAAGCTCTGATGTAACAGAACCCAAATAGTTCAGAGCCTCTTTAAAGTTACCACAGCACTCAGTAAAGTTAAGGACAAGGAAAAGTAGGGCTCTTCTTATGTTTGTGTACTGCATCATCCCCTCCCTCTGCCCTGCAAAACACAATGACAACACATCTTTTGATGTTTTGAATTCTTCATGGCTTTGTATAGCAGCATAACACCAGAGCACCTCATTTAAATTTTTGATTTATCATATAACCCAAGAGATTGTTATAAGAAGTAAAAAAATAATTGTCATAAACCAGTAAAAGTTTTAACTTTTCACCAGCAACTTCAAACTTCAAAGTATATAAATCATCCCACTGGCACAGCTGTAGATCCTGAAATACATGTTGAGTGTCAGAAATTAAGGCACAGATATCACATAAAATGCTTTTTTGACCTTTAGAAATGTGAAAATTGGACATTTTCTTACAAAAACTCCTGTTTCAGTCAACACCTCTATAAGAACCCAGTCCTTTCTTTCCATGTCCCCAAATTGTCTTTTCATTTGGTCTTAATACATTCCATTTGTGTGCCACACAGTAAACTGATTTATCTTGCATCACTCATCTTTTACCAGCACAGTATTCCACTTCTCCTAGGACTTATGCCAGCATTCCAAACTATAAAGCCACAGGAAGGAGATCTTAATTGTTTTTAAAGGTAAACTGACTGAAATTTTCTTCTCCATTTCAACATACCTAAATACGTATATAAAAGCAGTAGGTAACTTGGGCTGTAAAAAATCCTCCTTCACTATTGTCCTTTTAAAATAGGTAAAGAGCAATAACCTCATCTGGAAACTAAAAATAGCATGAGTAATTTTACAATCTTTTCACATTTTGCTCTTATTCCCCTGGAATATAGTGACCTTATTGGCTTGGCTTATGTAAGTGGTAATAGATTGCCGAGCTGGAATTTTTCACTTAACACCAGCAATTCTGTGCATATTTTCTGCTGGGCTGATCTTTCTGCCCTCCTTTTTGCACTCCAGCCCTCCCTGGTGTGCCCCCTGAGCCAGGGGCAGCAGGAGCTCCCACTGCTCTGCAGCCACAGTTCCACACTGGGCAGATGCAGGGCACTGAGTGCTGGAGACACCCAGGGTCACACAGACTTCTCCTGCTCACACCACCTATAAATCTCTTTCCACTGGGTTGCTACAGCCAGCACTCACTGTCACAGCACAGGACCTTTGGCTGCCAAGTGTCCTTCCCTAAATCCATCCTGTGGGCCAAAGGCAAAGGAAGTGTTGTGAGGACAGCACTATCAAACATGGATCAGTGGCCATCAGCCTGATTCTCCCCCTCCTCTTAGTGAAGGCACTTTCATTTACCCGCTGTCTTCCTGTACAACCAGGGCTCACAATGGGACAAAGCAGGAAACACTTCTGAACATCCAGCTTCTTGGTCCTACATCCAGCTTCTTCCTTGCAGGCTCAGACAAGTCTGGAATAGATGCTCACTCCCTTTTTAAGAAAATGATTCCAAAATAGCTGCAGTTCTCACACATCTGTTGCCCTCTGGCAGACACGCTGAGTTTCTATGACATTTAACAGAAATATCATGCAGGTACCTAAATTATTCCTAAGTGTCCTTCCATGCATTTGGAGTTACACTAAAACAGCTACAGATGTTGCAAACAAGACAAACACTGATTTCACTGAATCCAATACTTCTGTCATGGGACTGTTTAAATGAAAGAACATGGACTAAACAGAAAAAGTACCAAAAAAAAAGGGAAAAAAAGAAAAAGCTTATCTCATAGCCTATCATGAAATCATGTTCTCCAATTTCTTTAGGTTCAGGCCTTCATGATTCTAATTTCCACCTATTTCTCATTTTGCAGCAGAGGCATTTTTACAAGTTTTAAAATCTTTCAGAGTGTGGTCCAACAATAAAAACCAATGTGCACGGCAAATAAAATTTGGATGAAAACAGTGAGACCTCAGAGTCTGAATCCCCAACAGTGTCAGGATCATCATCACACCTGATGTGTTCACAAGGTGAAGGACACATCGATCCAGATGCAACCCAAAGGCTGATGTAACATATGTTAATTCAACTCAGCTTATTACCAATCTTCTCCAAACAATCTCTGAGGAAGCACTCATGAAAGCTGATTCTGTACAGTCAGACTTTGTCACACATTATTAAACATCACTAGAGATGGTATCCTGTGATGCACAGCAAAACTTCTGAGCCAAAAGGCAAAAATTCAGATTAAGGACACTTCTTTTACATCCAGGAAAATGAGCAAACATTAAACATTGTGCAAAAGAAAAAGACTTTATTTAATACCATATATGACTCGGAAGTTTCACGCACTGAAGACCAGAAAAACAAACTGTATTTTGCCTTTCCAAATACACCTATATTCAACATGGAACTCATTGATTTTTAAGATACACCAGAAATGTCTTTTAGCATCTAGTTACTGCTGATTGCCTTTTCCTTGTTTGTTTCCTTTTCAGCTGCCAATCCTTGTTTGGGTTTGGAGTAATCCCAAGGTCTCCTGTTCTCTGTGTAGCCATAGAGCTTCCGCAGTGCCACTCGTGCAGCCTCCTCCTCTGCAGCCAGCAGTGTTTCACCAGGGCCTTCAGCTAACATCTTCTTATCACTTGGGGAAGAAAACCAAAGTTACAACCACAAAAAACCAAAGTTTCCATCATAAAACCCTGAGCACTGCTGTGTACTGTCAATAAGACAGACTGGTTTTTATCCAGTGTGTGTGAACACTGACTTTTATATACACACAATGGAAACATTTCTGCTGGTCTTTCCTGAAAAGGTAAGAAATTGTATATTCAGTAATGGAAACTCGGAAATGGAAACTGTGTCCATTTCCTGGGAGAACACCACTCTGTTCATTTAGGTTCCTAACACAGCACTGATTCTTTACAGCATGCAATTTGTCAGCCCTGATAAAAATATGCAAATTTGTTACTCTGGTTAGCTTAAACAGGAACTGAAGTGCTTTTGTCTTTTCTCCTCCCCTGGTAAGGAAGTATTTCAAACTGCTTCTCTGTTGTGAATTATGTGCTCATGTCTGTTTAACAGTTCATGAAGGGACACCAGGGATTCCTGTGTAGAAACAATCAAAGTTCCCTTCTTTTTTATAAGATACATTTTATAGGGTACAGAAACCAAAGCAGGGTAAAGCAGAAGAAGTTAAGGCATGTGCTCATCTGCAGCTCCTTTAGGAGAGCAGCAGAGATGTGGATTCTGTCCTGCTCCACAGGAGCACTGTCACTGCTGGGCACTGACCACACCTGACACAAATGCACCAGGGACAGCTGGCACTTCCTAAGAGCCTGGACACAGACACTCCTATGGGCCAGTTTACAGTGCTGCTGATTTTCAAACTTAAAAGCTTCTCTGGAACTTAATGAGTCTCTCTCCATCTTACTCCCTTGATGTCTCTTTATGCTTGCCTAAGCCCTGGATACAGCTGTGGTCCTTCCAAAGCCATGCAGTTATGCTGTTCCCAAAGTTCCTGTGTCAGGTCACTCAGAACACACCCAGGCTCTTTGGTGCACCCTGTTCAGCCTCTGGAGCCCTTAGTCAGAGACTGTTCATGTAGCACCACAGCAAGCTATGGCCAATGCTTAAATGGCTCATTGTATATGGAACTTACTATCACATTTCTTTTCTGGAACAACCTGACCAAAAAGCATGAGTAGAAAAGTAGAAAGTATGAGTAGAAAAGTAGAAAAGACCATCTTCCATTGTTCTCACTCCTCCAATTAAAGCCATTTAACTTTAGATTAATATTGCACTAACCAGTACAACCCAACAAAGTAGACTGGCAGGACTGTGCTGACTCCCAGCTGCCTGGTAATTCTTGGTTCTGGAGCAGAGATATTCCTCTTGGTCAGTTCTTCCAGCAGTAAGCCCATAGGATTTACAACTTCCCAGATCTCAAACAGGTCTTTTCCAATCAGCTGCGGAATTAAAAAGTCCTAAACAAGAAAATTCAGAAGTTACAATTAATGGCTTGAGATTCTGGTGTCTCCTAATGAAAACACAGTATGAAGAGACAATAACTGACAGTGAATTGCCGGAGTGAATGATAAAGCTGCCTCAGTGCCCCATCCCAGTGCTTGTGATTGTGGCGTAGCCACTGACAGATTTGTGCCCGGGGTAAAGTCAGCCACAGACCCAGAGCAGGGACAGCTCCAGCCCAAGGGACAAGCTGTGGCAGCAGAGGAGCTGGGGCAATACCTGGGAATGTACAAACCCACGGGTCCTTCACCTGCTGGGATCACTCTCTTGTCTGTAAGAGCTCCTTGCTCTTACAGACCCCTCTCAATGCTCTTGTATCAGGAAAAACATTTTAACAAACACTTCTCCATGGCAAAACTAATAATAAGTGAAAAGGATGACTGAAACAACAATACCCGCTAAAACTACTTGGTCACACTGAATTTCAATCAAACATTTTTGTAGAAAATATCTTCAGGGGCTTGCACTCCTACATGCAAAATCTATGAATTCATCTGTGTTTATATAAAATGGAGCTTTTTTAAATTGAATAAATGAAATCTCACATGGAATAATTTCATTATCTGATAATATAGTGCATGGACTATAATGCTTTCCCTTACCAACTTTCAGCAAATATTAATATCACCATCATAATCCAGAAGTGTATGATTTCATGTACTTGATCAGCCTTCTTAATGAAAAAGCCTCCAACAAAATCTCCAACCCCCAAAACCCAGCTGACCACCACCACCACACCAGATATCATCGGTAAATTGTCTTGTTACACGTATTGTCAAACTTCTGCCAACCTCCCTGGATCTCTCCCCATCCAGGTACAGACCAGCAGTCATTGAACCTACCCTGACAAAGATCCCTGTTCTCTCGGGCCCGCTGCTTTCCAGCAGGGCTCCTATCACAGCGAGGAACGTCCTCTGCAGCACGTCTGGAGGGGCAGGAAAATCCCTGCAGAGCGCCAGGTCCTGTATGGACAGGTTTTGAGCCACGTAAGAGACAAGTTCGCGACTGGTCAGAAAATTAACCAGCGCTTCTGTGCCCTTCGCAGGTAACTCTGGGTAGGCGCCTTCAAAGCACCGCGCCAGGTAGGCGCGGGCGAAGCGCAGCCCTCGCTCCGCAAGGCCGGTGTTGTCCTGCAGCTGAAGCGCGACCGCGTCCTTGTCCAGCCCCAGCTGCCGGCGCCTCGCCTCCTCGCTCTCGATGTAGCAGGGGTTAACAAACGCAGTCTTGAGAAGGTCCAGGGCGAAGTTTTCCTGCACCCGGTGGCTGAAGGCCTGGATCTCCGCGTGATAATCCCAGTTGGGCTTCTCGGACCTGCGGGCGCGGGAAGGGAACCAGCTCAGGAACAGAACGCGTTACCCGCCCCACGCCTTTCGAAAGGGCACGAGAAATGAAATTGAGCTTGAACACCGAACGCAGTATTTAAATCCCTGGGGTCAGACACTGTCGGTTCCGCAACCCCGTCTGCCTGCCCCGTTCAACCCGGACTATGCCAACCTGCGGAGCTCAACCCATTCTGCTCCAAAGCGTGAGCAGACGGGGCCTAAACGTTCTGATTTTTCCCTTTTTGGGGCCGTTCCCCTTCTCCGAGTCCTGCCCGCCTCTCCCGCCGCTCACCGCCGCTGCGGAGGCGCCTGCAGCCGCTGCAGCTCCTGGTACGCCCGGAGCCAGCGCTTCTTTTCGGGGGGCGGCCCGGTGCTGAACGCGGTGCCGAGCCCGCTGCCCCGCCCGGCCCCGGCCAGGAGCGGCCGCGCCGCCCGCAGGAGCAGCCGCGCGGCCATGGCGGGTGCGGGCAGGGGCGGCTCCGCCCCGCGGCTTCCGGGCGGAAGCGCTCCCGGCCGGGGCGGCGGAACCGGGCCCGGGCTCTGCGGCCTCCGCCGGGCACGCCTGGCCCCGGGGACACGGCCAAGGACAGGAGCGGGGCAGCTGGAGCGCCAGCTGCAGAGACGCTCGGGATGGGCGCCCGGAGCTGGCGGGGTCCCGGAGCCGCCCCGTGGTGTGACCCCTGCGGAGCTCGCAGCGGGTCCCGGGGCTGTGGCGCTCACCGAACGTGTCCCACGCGCTGTCCCTTAGGTGGCGGCATTTAAAAATTTTTTTTGGAGTTCCATTCCCACGTGCAAGACAAAGTCCGGTTTTGTGCACTTAAAAGAAGCTTTATTTTTGACTATCGCCTATACAGTTCTTTATACATCTCTCAGCCCTCATTTGCACCATCAGAGTTCATACAGTACACCTTCAGTGCAAAGATCATGGTATAAAACTCATGAAAATGCAGAAAATGTGCAAAGGAAGCCTGGCCCTTTTTATCGTCTTTACTAAAAGACAAAGGCACACGCTTCAACATTCATGGTAAGAAAACATGCACAGCAAACGCCCCGATGTAGTCACGGAACACAGTAAACAAAGCTCAGAAAGAACAAACGCCACAGCCCTGTGGAAGCCAAGGAAGCAGGTACAGCAGCCTGTACAGCAGTGCAACAGCCACACACCGAGCCCAGTCTGACTCCACAGCACAGGAAACGGATGAGAGCAGCATTCCTGCAGGCATTCCTAGCACTTCTATCAAAATCCTCAGGCGTTCTCATGCCGCTGCTCCCGGGATCCCCTGTCCTTACCCGGGCACTGTCCCCAGGCCCGTGCGCAGCCCCAGCACCGCCCTGGGTCCCGCTGTGCTGAGGAAGGAAGGCTCCCTCTGGAGCAGCGCTGAGGTGTCACTGCCGGTCTCTGGCACACGGGCACGGTGAGTTGCTCTGTACGCCCCGGGGAAGGAGCTGTGGCTGCTGCAGCCGTGCCAGGGCCATGGAGCCACCAGCCTGCAGGGAGCTGTCACCCCTGTGACAGCATCGACCAAAGCAGGCCGAGGCTGAGCAGGGGATGGTTAAACTGACCCCGGGATCAGGGCACCCCAGGCGGGCCCCCATCCCCAGCACACAGCCTGACACCAGCGAGTGCCACAACCCCAGGGGTGGCAGCCTGCACTGCGCTGTCACATGCCCACCTGCTGCTTTGGAGCTAACTACTTACAGCAAAGACTAAGAGTTCACATAAATTCTCAAATAAATTATCTTCAAATGATATTAAACAATGGTTTGGGGTTGGGCATTTTTGAGAGAGTTTTATTAAAGATACTACACCAAAATCTTGTACTCCATAATATTTTCATCACTCACAAACTAACTTGCTTAAAAATGTAATTTATAGAAAAACATCTGCCAAATTAAACCTAAAAAAACCATACATATTACACACTTCTGGACAATCTGCATGTTAGCAAAGAATTTGTTTTATTATTCAACCTGAACATATACTTAAACAAAGAACATACTCATGAAACAGGACACACTCCTTGATTATGGCACACTTCAAACTACTTGGACTAAAGGAAAACTAGTGCAATTGTTTAATTGCATCTAACAACAGAATAATAAAAATGACTTCATATTCCTTTGTTTTTTGTTCTTTTTTTTCCAAACCCATTCCATTTGTTCTCTTCTCTTCTCTCCTCAACAAAACCTCCAGTGGTTAGTCCTGGAGCACTGACATTGCATGAAGCAGATTCCCCATGGGCTGGTCCATGTTACAGAGAAGCATGCAAAGGAGGATACTGCAGCATTTGCAATGCAAATCTATTAAATACGTTATAAATGAACAAGGTGTCCCTTTAACACTGCAATTCTAGAGCCTTTATCTGTGGTGGAAGTTTCCAGTGTATTCATTATAAAACAGCATACAATCAGAAACAAACAAGGAATTTTGCAAATTGTTTGTGTTTGCAGCTCGTAAATCTTTCTGAGAGCTGTGTCTAGCGCCGAAACCAAAGCCAGCTATTGAGTAGCCAGAAAGCTACAGTAATGGAATACATGATCATTTCCCTCTTAGCACGCTCTTTGTTCTCTTCTTCCAGGAGCTGGAGACGGCGATTAAGTTTGATTATCTAAAAACAAATAAAGGCTTTCATTATTTCATTACAAGTTGCCACACTTTCTAGAAGCTTCTGAATAACCATGTAAAATTAGTATCTCAAACAGATGGATGGATGTTAAACAGTTGATAATTTGACCTTCTCTCTTCAATCAGTAGTGATCAGATCCTGCAGTCCCTATTATTTAGGAACAGAAACAGAGTCAGATTCTGCAGACTCCCAGAACAGGACATGGTACGTGAGGGCAGTCCAGCAGGGGCACAGAGAGGAGCCCTTGCCTTGCCTGTTGGGGGTACCTTTGTAGTCATAGAGAAAACCTTCCCCATTTTACCACTACAGCTTTGTGCTAATGTTGTCACTACTGTGTTTTACATACCTGTCTTCTCAGGGAGGCAGCATCTACGACTGTCATGTCATCTGGGGTTCCCTCGAGCGTCGTTTCGAAGCTGGAGAGAGTGTATCTAGCAAGTGAAGGACAGGGCTCAGCTATGTCAGCCATGCAGATCAGCAAGTACCATATTTTACCAACATTCTAGTAGATTTATATTTTGGTGATGATGGAGACAAGAATTACAACTTGTTTTGCAGCTGTTACAGAATTGCATTTCAATAGGGTCCTAACTGAGTAAAGCACAAAGAGATATGAAGTAGGTTAGTGGTTGACTAAATTAGGATTGATTGCTCTCCACATGTAAAATTCTCCACACAGACAAACTTCCTTCTGACACAGTTCCTCAAAAGACCATTTCCAGTTAACTGATTCATGAAATGTGAACATTGCCTGACCTAAAGTGCCAAAGCTGCAAGAGACCTGGCCAGAGTAGAAATAACTAGACTTGCAAAGTCTTATGCTCAGTACCTACTTCAATATCCAAAGAGGACACTTACCGAGATTAAGAACCTCAGTCACATCAATCTCTGTATTTTAGGCAGAGAATCTGGCAAACAAAGCCCAATGCAGAGTCACTCAGTGCTTGCTGAACTTTGTGTGGATTTGAAAGTTTGCTCCCAGAGCACTCTCAGTTTTCTGAATGCAGCAATTCAGAAAGAGCATTATTCCAACTCCAGGACAAGTTAAATAAATAAAGAACATTTATTATCAGTTCAAAAGTGGCAGAAAGTCTTTACAGGTTTTTATTTTGATCATACAAGTGCTAGCTCTTAACCAGATTCATTTCCAACAACTAAACAGGTAAAGCAGTTTCTGATCCTCCACCTACTCCTGAGCTTCTCACTTTGTGTCTTAAAACCTCCATTTCCAGTATCAGCTCCCCCTGACTTCCATTCTCATGAGGACCTGTGTACAACTGCTGCAGTCAGCTTACATGGAGCAAAATAATGTCAAGGCTACTGAATTCCCATCAACAAATACACCTAAAAGAACATTAAGTATTTAATGACAAGTAATCTCGAACTAATAAGAATATGAGTAGAATTCATGGAGTTTGCAGAATGCCCTTAAGTGCAGAAACTACTTTTGCCTTTGCAGGTTCTCCCATCACTTTCCTGAAAGTTCTCTAGAATGCCCTCTGAAAACCAAAGAGATTTCTGATAAGGGTGTTTTGCAGCTATTTTTTTGTTAGCAGTACATGGTAAAAAAAAGTAGAAAATTCCACCAGATCTAAAGCACAGCTGTCCCTCACTCTCTCCTGGGAAAGGCAGGGTCAGCATTTCAGTGAGATGCACGAGGCTCCCTCCCAGCTCACATAACAGTGTATGACTGCTGCTCCACAATTTCCAGACCTTCCCAAGTATTGAATCAAGAGGGTTACCAGCAAAAAACCCCTTGAGATCACTCTTAGACCATTTCAGAAACTGAATTCCTGAGTTAGAGAAGAATCATCTGTTTGAATCCAGTTTCTACTTACACCCAAATCTAACCTCCACTTCCATGAAAATACTGAAGTCTGAAAGGCAAACAGGAAAAATGGATGTGAAAGGACTGTTTTTCCCCATCATCCTGACCATGGGATTATGTGTCAATCTCTTACCCAGTTCCACTGAAACGATGTCAATCTGCCAAGACAATGGCAGTGAAGGGGCCTCCAGGTACAACCAACAATCACAGGCTGAGAACACCTCCAAATTAGGTGAGGTAAGGCCAAATTTTCTAGTAAGCTCCCTATGAAATAGCAAATACTTGAACTATACAGCTCATGTAATGTAAGAGCCTCCGCCCAGGCATTAATCTGAGGCAGAGTTCTGAGCACATTGTATCTACCAGACAACTGAGATCTTGCAGGTGACTTGGATGGGGAAGGAATGAAGTCCTGAAATACCTCAAGAGTTGAGAGGCAGCATAAAAATGAGCACTGTGCTTTAAAATAACATTGCTGAGAAGAGAGAAATAGAAATCTGAATTTTAGAATTAGTGGATCATGACTAACAAAAAAATGCTCTTTACCTGGTGTTGTCATGATGAGGGTTAGAGGAGGTGGTAGCAGCTGACCCACCACGTAACATTGGCCTACAGCAGGATTTTGTAGAGTGAAAGCACAAGACAGAAACAGGAAATGACAAACAAGAGATAAGATGTAAAACACAAAGATCAAAGGAACATCAAAATACTTCCAGATATACTTTATATTTCAATATAACTTCTACAGTTTATTTGGTTGTAAATTGCGCTTTCATATTTCTCTCATCAAATTTAATCAACACTGAATGTTTTTGCAGCTAAGACACATAAGCAAATTTTTGATGAAGCAGATTTGGAGAAGCTTGATTTACAGAAGACAAACAGGTGGAATAGAAATTTAGCCTTAAAAAATAAATATGGGGAACTTCAGGTTAAAAAAAATAAATTACCCCCCCAAATCTAACACCTCACCTAACAATAACAGGAAATCAATAAATGTACTAGATGTAATTATAAAAGCCCTTTTAATCACCCTCTGCTCCCTGCAGGGAAAGGGGAGATTTGTATTTCCTGCATTCATCTATGCTAGATGTAATTCAGAAACCTGAGCTGGCAGCCTAAGGGCCATGTATAACCTGGAGAGAGGGAGATCTGTCCAGGAAGTGACTACAGCCTTCAAGCACATCTCCTGAACATCCTTACAAGTGCTGCTCTTCTCCCTTTTTTTTCTGGGCAGGGAGGAAGAAAAGGTAGAGCTTTTTTAACTGCTGCAACTTTCTAATATACATGAAGTTTGCAAGGAGAAGTTGCTGTATTGCAGCTCAGCAGCAGCACCCTCTGACAAGCTGGCACTCTTGTTTCCAGTGCCTCTGTAATGAGGCATTGGGTTCCCACACCACAGGTGTGCAACAACTGCAGGAGCCTGAAATCTCAATCTCCTTCATTTTCCCAATGCCAACTGGAGATACTTGTACCATGCATTTAACCCACATGTACTGCAGGCTATAAAACTGAAGACAATCCAGGTATGAAAATCCTTAAAGCAGGTCCATGTAGGAGGCAGAGCTTTGGTGCCACGGTGGCTGGGAGATCTGAGACCAGCCAGAACCATGCAAAAATATCACAGCCACCAGGTTCACTTCAAAAGATCAGGATCTAGGAGCCTTGGCAAACTCTGCTACCTAACTATTTATTGGGACCAGGTCCTAGTCTAGTTAGCACCAGAAGTGCACACCACTTCTCCTTTCTAGCACTTAGGCCAGCATGATTTGTTTCACAAAACACAAAGCCCCATTTCTGATACATGCAATGTATGAATGTTCTCACCTAAATGTACAAGGTCTTGCAGAAAGTTATCCAAAAAACCTATTCATAACCAGAGGAATAATTCAGCTGGTCTAAAATCTTCTCTGACAGATGCCACAACTAAATACTTTGAGACAGTGTAAGAAATTGAACAAAGAGCAGCCGAGGAGAAGGCCACAGAATTTCTCTGAGAACTTCAGTCACCTGTAACTAACTGGCAGATATGTGAATGCCAGAGCCAGTACCCAGCAGGCACTGCCCACACCATCTGACACAGGACATTTGGATTCTGTGTAAGGAGAACAACAGTCTCAAGTGCTCTCCAAATTCAACTTCTCTGCTATCTTTTGGTAAACAAAGTTTTACAGCTGTTGTAGAATTTATCAATCCTAATTGACAACTACCCTTCCCAAGGAAAGCCACAGGCTTGGAGACAGCTGAGGGCAACAGCAAGGCGCAAACCCAGAGCACTCTGAGACCTGTGCAAGGCAGGAACTCAAACTGAAGTCTTTGATCCTACTTCCCAACACAGCCAGGCTCTTAAGATGCTGCAGGTGATTTCTTCCTTTTCTTTACAGGTCACTTTTTATTTCATTACAGATGGACCCAAAAGGAATACCACAATATTGCCCCATCTCTTCTACTTGCTTGGTTTTTTTTATATCAACAGAGAACTGATTACATTGATCACAGTGGCCTCATAACTGAGAACTTTACCCCCAAATTAGCAGTAAGTTTTTTGGCAAATACAGAATGTACAAGTATAATATAGGCAAGACATTAAATGCATGGCCTCCTTTAAAAAATAAGTGTACATTAGAACTCTGAATTTTCTGGCTACTTCTGTCAATTCCATCCTAAACATTAGTGCATGATCAGAAGAAGCCATAACACCAAGGTCATGTGTACTCCCTGCAAACACAGCAGCAACCTCGAACTTGAAGGGAATGCTCAGGAATACAATTTAATACCAGTGGGAAAACAGGCAGTAAGGCAAGGAGCAGCTGAACCTGTCTGTCTCCTGCTGCTTCCACAGTGAGAATGCAACCCTAAACACATGGTCTGGGAGGAAAACAACCGGGGGGGACAAACCTCATCTCCTGAACCATCATTACCCCAGGCCAGAGTCAAGTGTGACCTTCTTTGATGGTCATAACTCGCTTCCCATTTTATTTCTACAATCTTTAACTTTCTCAATATGAAAATGATCTTATAAAATCTCAGGATGTGACTATGTGGGTGAAGTTTGGCATTTTAAAAGGATAGTGTTTTTTTTTAAAAAAGGACTATCCTAAAGAAAAGAAATCATAAATTGCCATACTCTTTCCTCCTAAATAAAATGTACTGACACAAGAGATGAGTCAGTTTAGATAAAGTACAGATTTCAAAACAAGTCTATGCAGATATGAAATTGTCTCTTTTTCCTGCATTTAAGACATCACTAAAATCTCCTTAAATGCATAGGGGTTTTTGGGGGCTTGTTTGTTTGGCTGGTTTGTTTTCAGATTTTCTTCTGCTGCCTAGAGCATAAAAGATCAGTCTTAAAAGGACACTAGGGGTAGGTCCTACAGTCACGCCACAGAAATTGAAACAGAAAAATGGTTAGAACTAGAAACCAAAACTGACCTATTGTCCTTGTCCAAGCTGAAGGAAATGCAAGAGTAAATAGTGATCATTAAATTGTAGCTCATTTAAATAATCCTTTATGTGAGCAGTGCTGGCTGAGCTAGGCATAACTCATTATCTGCAGCAGTACCATCAGCACCTACCGTTAGCAGTTTTAGTAGATTGGAAAATGTTTGGGGGGGGAAAAAAAAGACAAGCTATAAAACAAGTTAAAAATATTTCCAGTGAGTAACACACAGCCAATCTTGTTAGCTTTAAAAGATTTCTTCAAGTATTAAGCATAAAATGTTAAAATAGGTAAGGCTTGGAGAAAGAAAACACATTACACAGAGCAAAAGAACAGAGTGCAGGTTTAGAGCAATTTAAAATGAATAATATTTTGCAACCATGCAAGTGGATCATCCAAATTTCACATTCCCACGCCAGCTGTAATGGTGGGTGTGTAAACACCCAGCCACAAAGAATACACTTTCACCTTATTGCAAAGTTCATTATTTTAGCACCTGTTTATTCATAGGTGACTAGAAGCAGGTTTCCCATTTCTTCTAGGAAGGTTAGTAAGAACATCTCGAAAATTAACCCAAACCAGGATGAGTTTAATTGCAGCTTTTCAAGTATTCAGAATCCTAGAATTTTTCTGATAATTGAACTAAGTTGAAAGTGTATGTATATGGATTTGTTTTCCAGAATCCAAGAAAACACAGGCAAGAGCATGCATAAGAGAAGCCAGGAATAAAACCTGTTAGCTTCACAGCAGACTGGGAAAAGGGCTACAGTTCCAATCTATATTTTAACAAGGACTCTTGGCACAGGATCCTTAAGTGCTACTGTTCATAGACAGTACAATTTCTTCTTATCTGGGAGCTTTAATTTGGCGAAACAAATTTATAATTGTATAAATTTAATGTTGATAAGGGGGAAAAAGTACTGATGCCCAACTGTTGATAGATAGGCATCAAAATTTTAACAGCTACAGCCTGGCATTTCACAGGATTAAATAATTCATTAGTTAAGCACCCAACCCTCAGTATTTCAAGGGACTCTGTGCAGCTGATTTTGCTTGTTTTTCTGAGTCCCAGTTTAAGAACACAAAGGCCAAAAATACTGAAGTTCTTTGCAATTCAGGAATGTTAATATGGGCATTTATATATTGTCAGGTCAGCAAACACGGTGAGCTACAGGAGGTGCCAGTTTGGAAAGTGACTGCAAACCCACAGACATTCACAGTAAGATTGGCTTGATAGTCACATTTCACTACCAAAACAACTAGAGAGCAAATAATTTAAACTTCACACAATACACACTAAGTGTGCTGCTAAGATAAGATAGCAGAGGCACATGGCAAATTTCAAAGAACTTGCTAGCACAGGCCACACTGAAGGGCTGCAGGAGAAATGAGCAGTTCCTCCCAGTGATCTTCCCAATTATTTCCACTAATTCAACCTCCTGGCAATCCCTGGGGGTCTGAGCTAGCCCTACACTGGAGGCTGTGTGCAATTGTTACCTGAACTTCTGTGCTGGCATACAACTAGCCTGGAAATTGCTTTTAGTAAATGAATATTGCCATTGTTAGTCTTTAGGAATGTCTCTATAGTATTAAACATGCTGTTCTTGGAACGCTTCCAAATCCCAAATCCAGACAGTCTAAGGATACACCAAGTGAGCAAAATTCCACTGAAGAGAATGGAAATAACTACACAGGGATTACCATGAGGCTTGTTCTGACTCATTACTCTCCAAGTGTCAGGCAATCCATAAAATCAGAGACAGCAATAATCAGAGCAGCAACCAAATCCCCAGTGTCCCCTGCCCTTCCTGCTCTCAGCATCCAGGGTGGCCACCATCAGTCATGTGGCCAACAGAGAGAATTATTCCCAAAATAAACCATGACAGTTTCAAGTCATGACATATTATCCAAGTAGTCTACAATGCCTTTTAATATTCTACCCTCTTTCTGCACATTTTTTAATGCTTCATGACATCATCAACCCAATCTTATTGATTTGCACCCCTGCTCACCAACAGAGAAGCAGAAGACAAGGCTTGTAAATTTGCAGGCTCAGGGTCAAGTATTCATTGCAGAATACACTGATAATCTTGGACCAGCAAAACCCCTTGCAGCCACAGGTTAGCCCTTCCTATGAAGATTTTTATTTGGAAGGAAACCAAAACAATGCTGTATTTGAAACAGAAGCATTTTGAAATGTGAATTTTGGACATTTAAATTGCTTATGAATATTGAAAGCAAAGGAAAGCAAAAGCAAATAATTTCATCTCATTGTTGTGTAAACAGAAACCAAAGTCCACTAAAAAGGAGAAAAGAAAAACAAAGCAGCAGAAGCTGGCAGAACCAGTGACAACCAATCACCTGCGGTTTTCATCCAGCACATCCAAGACCTGCTGGTAAGCCCTACGAGTGGAAGACTGGATAAACGACAAAATGCCACGAGCAGAGTAAAGATTAATTCCATCTTCAGGTAACATATTGGGAGGACAGACACGGGCCTGTTGCAGTGATGGGGTCACACTGTTTGTACAAGCATAGTAAATGAAGAGAGAAACACTAGAGTCAGATTTTAAATGAAAAAAAAAGCTTTTCAGATAGACCCCATTCCAAAATGCTTATTGCTTGCTTTTGGTTTACCCTTCTCCCACCACTGTAAGGTAACACTCCCAAATTCCAGTAGTGTGGGGATTATGAGCTGCATTTCCATATGTTCACCAGAAACACACACAGGTTGTAATAAGGACACAGTTTTGATCTGTTATACAAGTTAGTCCTAGAAAGTGCTTGAACAGCTAAATCTGTACCTGCTGCAGTCAGTGTTCAAGTCCTCACTTGACATCAATCAGAGGAGTGTTTTTACAAGCACTGGCATTTTAAGAAAATCCTACACATCATCTCTTTTCAAAACACAAGCCTTTTTCGATAAGGAAAATCTCACACAGAACCCCTTCAAAAATTTTTTTTGGAAGCTGTGATCAAGACAGTATTTTGATTTGCATATGAACAAGTTTAAAGGCAAAATGCAACACATTCTAAAAATAGTACAAAATTCACATCCCAGTGACAATGAATTACATGATCTAACATGTTGACTATGATGCAAAAAATATTATTTAAAATATGCAGGACTGGACTTCAACCATGGCCATTTGGATTATATCAAACTGGATTATATCAGAGAGAAAATAGCTTTGATAAGCTGCCCACGATTTGCTTATGTTTCTTTACATTCAAAGTGACTTTATTCACTTTTCCTGTACACAGCAAGATTTTTTTTTTTAATCTGGAAACTTTATTAGAGGTGAGATGCTTTTTTAGTAGGAATTAATTAGTGTTAATTTAATGTAAATATTAACACACATGCAAACCAAGTGCAAGCCACTGTACCCTTTAAATCTTGGGTTAGTTTTTATTCCAAGATTAGCACCCATAATTCAACACATTTCCTTGCCACTTTGCTTTGCTACAACAGCTTTGGACTTAAAATGTCAATCTTTTTGACTTTGGCATTTTAATAAAATATTAATGCTGAGTACTTGGAAGTTGGTTTGGTATTTGGCTAATCTCTAGCTGGGTCAGAATTCTGTGGCTACTCTTACTTTGAACAGAGCTGCTCTGCACGTGGCTGGCAGCAAGATCACAAAAGTGAGCAGGACAGAAAACTCCACTGAACAGACTGAATCAAAGAATGTGACAGGAATGTCACCTCTGCCACAGCAGAGCTCAGCCATCCTGGGCCCCAGGGGACACCCACAGACTGCAGCACCTGGGCTTGGCTGATACTGGCCATTGTTACCTCAGGGGCAGGCAGCTTCTCAGGCTGCCACAGATTACACTGCAGTAAATATTTAGTTGCTTCCTTACAGCTTTTATTGTTCTCCCACACTTGTAGAATCCACCTTTCTTCTATATTTATGATGACTTCTATTTTGTAATCAATAGTAGTGGTCACACCCACAGGTTTTACTATGGAACTGCACTAGAAATGCCAATATTCAGCTGAAAAATATCAAGCAGCAGGGGCAAGTTCGAAATATTGCCATTAAAATGAATTTATCAGAATTTTTACTTCTTGTGGATTTGCTGGATTGAGGCAAATGAGGGAAGAGTTAAGGCTTGAAATCACAGTATATTTTGCATTAAAACTAATTTCTCCTGTACATCACTTGAGAGATGTGCAGAATAGGGTGAAAGACAACTTAATAAAAAATCGTAGCAAATAATATTTAAACATATTACAAAACAGAAAAAATTGTGGAATTCCTGTTGTCCAGAATGGTATTAGTATAAATACTATAGTAATGATTTTTGCATACAAAGATTTCTGTACATACTAAAAAGATCCTAATAAATTATAAAAGCAAACCCAAAAAAAACCAGTTTTAACTAAAACTGTACAGAATTCTTTAGCATTAAGTTACATGGGCTGATTAAATTCAAAGTTATATAATAAGGAAAAAATCAGAAATAAGAATAGTTCTATGAAGGGCACAAAGGCCATGACTGGGGGTTGGAGAGAGAAGCAAAATTTTTCTTCTGAAAATTTTGCTTTTTTAGGATTTGAAATTGCTGTCCTGTAAGCATCTGGCAGTCTTTTGGACTATGTCAGAGACCATGGAGAAGAAATATTATGAAGCAATTACCTGATACAAATCAGCCCAGATAACATAAGAGAAAAAAAATCTCTGCCATAAGGAAACTCTCTAATATGTAATGTAAGCACTTATCATTAGACATTGTGGCTATCCCCCCTTCCTCACTCCATTTCCAGTGAAATGGTCCTAGTTGTAGGTATAATTTTGTTTCTCATCTCCGAAAATAATTCCTTATATATAGCTCCAGCCAGTGTAACCTCCCTGGTTTCAGACACCAGTCAATTCCAGAGCTTGGAACCAAAACAGACAGGATGAAATTACAGACATGACTATGAAAGAGTACAGTAGCATGTTGCTATATACAGTTTTAGCTTAGCAGCAATCTCCCCTAAACCTCCTCAAAGCATTTGTGGTGTACTCAGGCTTTATTTCAGGTATTTTTCTGACTTGCAGTTCTGGTAGCATTAAATTAGAGGTGAACAGAGAACTAATTAAAGTTACTTGGAATTCAAGCACATAGAGAGACATGCACACCATCAACTTTTCCTCCACGACTTGCAAGAAGAACAGAATTTCTCAAACGGTGAAATTGAACTCTGTAGAAAGATGTGTTATTCAAAGGAAAAGGCTGGAGCAAAAAGAAAATTAAGTGCTGCCCAGTTTTCCATGCACTCTTGGTGATTTGGTGACTTCCAGCAGAGAAGTGGAATCCTTGCATTCAGCATTGGCTGGCAATGACCAACAAAAAGCTTTGTTTCTCCAGCTATACAAAACTAGCCAAAGAACAGAGTGTCAAACAAGTTAAAGATAATTTGAAATTTTATTTCCCTTTCATTGACTGTCAGGTGTTTTTCCCTGTGCTGTTTACAGAAGGAAACAATTTGGCCAAGTTTGAGAAACCCTGAAGCAAAATTAGAAGCAACACATTCAGTGTAGCTGTTTCAGATTTTATATTCTAAGCTAGAGGTTTAGTACTGCAGAGAGCTACAGAATTATTCACACTCTTGCTTTTCATACACCAGGGAAGGTTCAGGCTTACGTGCAATCCTTAGTCGAAAGAGGTGACTGGAACCGTGGCATTTTATTTCTTGGGACAGTATCTGATCTGTGCCACCTTGAATAATAATTGTAATCTCTTAAGTAAGCATCCTTAGAAAAAGAGGGATTGTAGTTTAGAGAGTTGTCATTATTGCCACACAGACAGTTATTGTACCAGCAGGTACTTGTTAGTCCCAGGATTTCTAAGAGCATTAGAGAATTACTGACTTTAATGAAGCTCAGCTGCCAAAAAGTCCTCAGAACTGTCTTTGCATGCACTGGATGACAAGAAGAGAAAGACAATGGAAGAGAAACCACTATTTGTGCATGTCAAGAACACTGTGACAGGGAGCCCAGCCAACTCTCACTTGCACCACCTATTCCAGAATGTTTGGTTTTGTCACTTTCTAAGTCAAGCCTTGGAATTTCACACAGTACATCTGAACATTCTGTCCAAGGAGGACAACAGTGTCCTAGACTAAAACTTGAGAACTGTAATCATATTTTGAAAACAAAGGTTTTAAAAGGCAGTGCTCCAAGCACCTCTTCAATCCTCATCACAGCATCTGAGCAGTTCATATGGACTTCCTCTTCTATTTGAAGATGTGAACCAAACCAAAGCACAAAAACAAAGAGCTGATTTTTGTCAAGGTAGAGCACCACAGCATTTGTTAGTGAAGAAGAAAAGTATTTTTTTCAGCCAACAACACTGGATATAAGAACTTCAGGAGCAGCTAGTATTCTTGTAATTAACTGGAAAACTAGTATTTCCAAATGGTAAAGGAATTCCAAGGTGATATAAATGAGGCAACAGCCACACAATAACATTTACTGTAGTACAAATAATAGATTTACATGAAACTTTTGGGTTTTTTTTTTTTTCAGTTTACACTGTATGTCCTGAGGGCTTAAACTGTGAGGAAACAAGAGCCAAGAGGTTACTTTTCCACCAGCACAGAAGGCCTGGCCTTCCTGCATTTGTGGAAGCCACACAGGTTCCACTGTGACCGTGGCTCTGAATTCCTAAAACATTCTCCTGAGAGGTAGGCAGGTACAAAGTCACATTCTCCACCTGGAGAGTGACAAAACCCAGATGAGGAAGAAATGCCAGACTCAGCATCAGAGTGCCAGAGCATGTTCAAAGTGATTTCTTTCTTTGGATCCTATTGAATCAGAAGAAGCAATTGTGACAGAAAAAGAAACTGTGATTTCAAAGCAGATGATCTAGCATTAGACACAGCGTAACTTCTGTCGTAAGATAACAGGCACCTGGGAGGACAAGAGAAAAAGGAAGTTCTACTAAAATACATTATCTGCAGGTCAGAAGCGCAGAATACTGCAATGAAGAAGGATATCTTCCACATGGGCAGTAGAGAATACAGATCTGAAGGCTCAATATCATCTAGCTGTTATTTATCTTACAAGCAAGAGAAGAGATCCTGGATCAATCAAAAAGATACAATAGAAGGTGCTTGGCATTGGAACTATGATTTATATGACAGACCTTATCAAGCACTAGCGTGGGTATCAAGAGAGGAAAACTAATCTCCAGGTGTGTAATAATTTCCTGGATTTTGTAAATGATAAACTGAGTCATGCCAGCTGCAAGTCATATTTTCCTTCATCATAGGCTTTTTAAATTTACAGGATTCCAGGTGCCCATTGTATTGCTGAGCCTCTGAAGGACTGATAGAAGATGAAAATACCGTGACAGCAAATAACATTCAGATCATGTAAACCCAGTAATTCTATATATAAACTACTGATTGACAGCAAAGCACAGGACAGCAAATTTTACAGATTTAGGATTTTCCAATTCAATAAGTCCAGACACGCGAGAAATCTGACAGCAACTACAGGCAGAGCTGATCTTACTGTTTTCTCAGATGGCTGGCATGGCCCATGACTTTTGGAAGACTAAACTAACACAGGGTTCAAGTGTGAAGCAATTTTAAGAAATTGCAAGAATTTCTTTACCAACTGTTTTTTCCTTTTAAGTGCAATACATCAAAGACTGGCAAAGCAGAGCTGGCAGCATCAAAGGCAGAAATATTTCCACAGGAAGCTCCCATCACATGAAGACCATGGTACTCCAGCAGGTACCATGTCCAAACTGCCAGATGGGCAAGAGAAAGCCACTCTGAAGTGACATTACAGTGTGTGCAGTCCAGTGGGACATTACTGGGTAAGTACAGGGAGCTTGGACACTGAGGAGGCTGATAGAACACCCAGAGACTGAGCTGGTCAGGCACTTAAAGATGGGAATCTGAGTTTTGCCAGCTCAATAAATGTGTGTGACTCTGCAGACCTGAGCACCTAGATATGTGCAATCTATAAACTTATATGAACCCAAAGCCTGATCCAATAAGAAGCGGAAGATATGAAGCAATATTTCCATAAATATCTGGAAGAAAAGGAGAAGTGTAACATGTGTGGAACATGCATCAGAGTACATTTCATCGTAGCCAAATTAACAGGTGGACAGATATGTGGTACACACAGTACCTCCTAGTGCCCGTGATGCCAACAGAAGAAAACAGGCATTTCTAGGGCATACTTCACTTGATCTACTTTAGACTAAAAATAGGTAGACCCTAAGTAGGCTATGCACTTATTTCCCTCTAGTTTCTGAAAATTAAGTTTGATGGTGAACTAGCAATATCGTTATACAGTCTGCATTGGAACAGATGAATCCCATCTTTCAAATCTTAAATTTAAAGTCTCTTCTAAGGCAAGTATTCCTTATGGCAGCTGTATTAAAATTCATACATAAAAGATTCCTAAGTATTATATTGCAAAACCACTTATTTCCAGGTGGAAAGATGCTATCACTCAGAATAAGGCATGATTAATCCAAGACTATCATATCTAATAAAAATTTACAGACATATATGTCTTCAGATGGCACCCTAAGAACTGCAGCCTTGGATGGTAACAATGGATGAAGTTTCCATTTCTAAGTGCTCCTTGCCATTTTGGTCAGAAAAGATTAAGATGTATATACTCACAGATTCCAATAAATTTAGTACAGTGACACCACAGAAAAGTTACTTATTCTAATATTTATGAGGAAATAAAAATATTTCTTCTCCAATGAATGAAAATCATTATAATATTAACAGTGGGAGAATTGGGAACATTTTCATGCACAAAGAATGCCATTTCCTGAAAATTCAGGGGGGAAAGATATTGTACCAACTCAGATACTGAAAAATCTCCTGAAATAACAATTCCTGGTAAGTGGTGAAACCAACTGTGAGCCACAAACACTTCCACCCATCCCCTGCAAGAAGTCACCTACCTAAACAAAACCCGTAGAAGAGAAGAAAAAGGCTGGTGTTATAATAGTTAAATGATGTTCTTGGCACAACATAGAAAACATGAGCTGGGCAAAGCAGTAAGGAGGAGGTGAGGAAGGAGGGTGGGTGTCCCAGAGGGGCAGCAGAGGCCCTGCAGGACTGCACTCACATGGAGTCGTTGCGGGCCAGCTGCCCGTTCTGCCGCGTGGCGTTCTCGCTCATGGAGCGCTCTCGCTTCAGCCTTCCCACCGCGCGCACCTGCACCCGGGAGCAAAGGACACATCACAGCCAGAGGGCTCCGGGACACAGCTCTGTGCTCTGCAGGCCTGTCACCCACATCTGCCCTCACACACAAAGGCACATTTCCAGGGGCTTCACAGGGATTAGGGGGAAAACAGCAGATGACAGATGTGATGCTGGTATGTGTAAAATCAAGCTCCACACTTACAGCAACCCTGCTGTTACCCATCCGTGTGACCTGATGTCAAAATTATGAACCAACAGAATTTCCAATATTCTCTGGAGATACTCAAAGCCCCCTGGACACAATCCTGAGTAACATGCTCTAGGATGACCCTGCTGAGGGAGGCTGGACTATATCAACTCCAGTGGTCCCTTCCAGTCTTACCCATTCTGGAATTACTTCCCACCACCAGAGATAAATATATTTCTATTCTATTTTAAAAGCCTATAGAATATGCAGCCTCATAAATAATTTTCTGTTTTTAAAGTGTCAGTTGCCATTGTTCACCTGGATGCCAATGCTATACCATTATTTGAAGTTGTTTTTTCAGAGTTTTGTTAAAACTCAGCAACTCTGTGTGGCGTTATATCATCTGGCTATGAAGTCCTAAGCCCAGAAGTTAACCAGATACATTATAATGTATAACTATATACAAGAATCTTACATTTTTCTGATACTTTATAAATCAAAAAAACCTTACAGCTTTCTCTTCATCACAAGGATTTTTTGTTAGAAATATTTTGAATAGTTCTAATTATGATCTTATTTTTGTAAGTAGTGAGTAAGCTTGCTGAGCATGGCAATTCCAGGCCATCTGCCACTTCAAAGTCTAAACAGAACTACTATAGTGCTAATAAAAATATTTTTGTATTTTCCCAACATATGTCAGCAGCAGGTTGATCTGCACTACAGTAGAGAAATCATTGGTCATTTCACTTTCTTTAGCAGAATGCTTCTTATCTAAGGAAAAAGCAAAATAAGTACTGGCCTCTTCACTCTGAGGTGTCTGCTGTGGAGGTTTTTCTAGGTCCAAAAAATCTAGCGGTCGATCACTAAGAGAAATAACACGGGGAGGAGTTTTCAATGCCAGTGGTTTGAATGGAGTAGACTGAAGAATGTCAAGGTCTGTTGGTCTGGAAAATGGAATGTCTTCACTATTACCTGCAAGAACATCAATTGTCAACAGAAAGCAAATTGTTCTGAGGCCTGAAGGCCTGTGCCTAAAGTTCAAAAGGACATCATAGCAGTGACTTCTCCTGCCTATGCCAAATGATGAGGTATAACCTCCTTTAACCTCCTTATATGTTAAAAACTGCTCTTGAAGTGCTCATGAAGACCACATTGACACTTATTTGAGCAGCTTCTCTGAGGACAATGATCCTGAGTAACCCTGAACCACATAAAATGTTATGCAAGTGAGAGCACTCAAGACAGTCCTATCAGTGTCTTTGACTGGGGACATCAAAGCATAAAATATATGCATGTCACACATTTTGCAAACTTGTTAGACTTTCCTCAGGTCTGGATATGTCACTGTAAAGCCCATGACCACAAATACTAAACTAATATTGATAGAGTCCACTCATAATAGACAGATTATCAACAAAATTAGCACTCTAATTAAAATCAAATACGTTTTGCATGACAAATATAAAGTCCATCCCCAAAATTTGTTACAGTTACTTTAGCTTACAGTTAATTACTAAAAATCAGGTGTAAATCAATAAACAGTAATTTTTTCTCCAAAAATAGCCTAGTAAGATGAAACATCAGCGATTAAACCTTCTGTTCATAATTAATTCATCACTGTCTCCATTATAAGCTACACCAAAACTATTCATGAAACATTTTCAGACCTTAAAAAACTTCCCAAGTTAAAGAGCTTTAACTATTTAAACACCAGAAAGCATTTTACAGGTTATTCTTTCAAAAAACACCTATCAGTATATATTTTTTCCATCCAGAAATCAAGGGAACTAATTCAAGTTTTCACCTGAGTGCGATGCAGACATACCTGCCACTACAATCCGCTCTGGAACCTGCATGGTTACACTGGCATTTGGGAATCCTTCCAGGCTGTTCTTGTCCAGGTCAGAGTTCTGAGGAGCCACCTTGAGCTTCTCGGGGACCCTCATGCGCTGGCTGATGCCCTCGGTGTATTCCATCTCGTACTGCAGCCGGTTCATCTCGGCCATCTCGGCAGCCGGCGACGGGAACGCCGCCCCGCTCATCCTGCAAGGCAACGCAGCGCTGGCACAGGACACGCACCCAGCAGCAGGGGGACAGGAGGTGCTGTGCTCAGGGCACCAGGGAAAGGGGAGATCAGAACTGAAGGGTCTCATTTAAAGTAGCAAACTGTGCAGTGAAATTCATAGCAGGCGTAGTCACAAAGTGCTGGGAGGCGCAGGCAATGAAAGAAGAACAAAGTGATGCTGTAGACAATGCTCAAATTGAGGGTTCTCAAATTGAGCCATGACAAATAAAAAGCAAAAACAAACCAACCTGGAAATTCTGCAGGCAAGGTACTATTCCTGCACTGGCTGACAGAAATAGAAACATAAACAAACACATCAAAGAATCGGTAGGATTGGTAGGAAATCTATTCAGGATTGGTGAGAAATCTAAATTACTGATTTGCATTTACAGAAATCCAGCATACTTGTGGTTGAGAAAATGGCTGAAGTCTCACAAAACTGCATGTTGAGGCATGGGAAGACATAAAGGACTCAGCCTGGGCAGGAGCCTCCTGCTCACTGTCAGTCACCCAGATCTTACAAGGACAAAGTTCCTTATCAACAGCCTGTCAAATCAGCTTGAAAACTGAGAATATTCATAACCCTTCCCAAGTGCAGCAATTCTTTAAACTTCTCACTTCTATATTTTTCTCTAAATTAACATCTTACTATTGTGGAACTGATACAAGATGAGGAGGAGAAAGAACAAGACTTTATTTAAACTTAAAAGCATTTGCCAATACTTTATATATCCATTTTCCTAGAAAAGCAGTGGAATTTCCAATGAAGCAGTGGATGAGTTCCCTAGAAACTGGGCTGTGAGAGACTTACCAATGCAATTGCTGGGAGTTGTGTCAAAGACCAATCTAACTGGGGGTCTGAAGGCAAATTTAGGGTCGAGAGAAAAAGAAATCCTAGCGCTGAGGCTGGGGGTGGCTGGAAAGGGACCTCGGACAGCTGGGAGGAGCTGATTGCATGGGCACCTTGCTGATGGCTCAGACCCAGATAACGGCTGTGGGCTTGGTTTCCAGACACCCTGAAGCTGCATTTGGATGGGGCTGGAAAGGGGTTCCCAAAGGAAACACTGAGTTGCAAGAACTGGCTGTGGGAAACTTTTCATCCAGGCAACAGCTGGGGAGCTTGTCAGCAGCTCACATTGCAATGATGTTTTTTTAGGGTTAGAATATGAAAACAAAGTTTCTAGACATATATATACATACACAACATGTAGATATGGCTTACATTGGCAAACCTGCCTATGCAAAGCATGGCTTAGTCTAGCACAAAATCTATGAGTGGTGTTGCTTAAGTAGGTCCCTGAATGAAGTAACCCATCCTGGCAAAAAGGCAGGGTTTGCCACTAAAATTGCAGCTACATTCCTTTACTATTTTTGGCTCAAGGCCACGCCTGTCGCTGTGTGTGCACTGCTGAGCTGAACGTGCAGAGCACAGAGGCCTCAGTGCAGAGCAGCCCCGGGCAGGTGAGCCAGCCCAAACCCTCCCTCCCACCATCCCACAAGCAATTCTTCCACATTTACCAGTAAAACCTTGAAGAACCCTCAGGCAAAGGAGAGAAGCACAGAGAAGGATCTGGACTGTGTAACACACGACTGCACACACACTGAGTGTGATCACCTGGCAGTCCATCCTGTGAGTCTCAGTGTTATTTGCAAGGCTTCCCATCACCACACATCACATAAAGCATCTCAATAATCTCCAAGTGTCACTGCAGCACAGTAGGAGAACAGGTGATCAAGGAGCAGGCTAAAGATGACTGTGTAACCTTAAAAAAGGTCTATGTTAACTTTAAAAAAATTAGTTTTAAAGGAAATACTTGAAGTGCTGCACATTATTAATTATCACAGTTTTTATCAAGTGAAAGAAAGTGAAACAACCCATTTAATTAGGAATAAACACTTTATAGCAGTTCAAGAGGTGCTTAAGCATCTGTCACTTCCAAAACGTTAACCTTTTCACATGGAGTTTTTTTCATCCCTGCCCTTTGATTTTACAGACTAGATTTACACCTCTTGCAAGACATTGGCTTGATCAGCCAGTGACATGAACAAAATACACAGCCATCTGAAATTTCTAAATTCCAAAAGGCGCCTTTCATTTCAAACACTGTCTGTGATCAGTGAAGCATTTCCCAATCTCATAAAAATCCTAATGTCAACAGAGAGACCAAATTTTAAGAACTTCCAGTACCCAGAGTATCAACTGGCAGCAGCTTTAGGCACACTTATTGCTCACATGTGACAAAAGGTGTTTCCCTGCTTCACTCTCATTTGGAAACACCTGGCTGGCTCCAAGTTTAGGGATCCAGTATCCCTGCCCTGCAGCAGTGTTTCCACCACAGCTTGGTGAGGCTTTTGGACACAAGTCTGCTTGCACAACAACTGCTTTCCAGCTGCAAGGCAAAACCTACACAAAGCCAGAGAGCAGCAGAAAGTATTTATAAACCAAATAGCACTGTGTGGGTTTAGCAGTGCTTGCCAAGGCCCTACAGATGCAAAACCTCAATATCTTCCTACTCTCCTCTACTTTGTGCCAGAGAACTGGAGAACTGGATTTGCTATCAAAGTGATTTCAAATTTTACCCCTTTTTACAGGAGACCAGCAGAACAGAAACAACGAGATCTCAGCAACAAATAAAACATCTTAACAAAGCTTCTGAACAAAACAAAGTTATGTTTTCTGCAATGTCCTTGTTATACAAAGCATTTTACAGAAAGCATTAATAATAAATCAGGAGACTGAGGATTTTAAAATTGATATTTACAGAACTAAGTACCTCTTAAAAAGGCATGATAATAGAAGTCTGAGAATGATAAGACAATAAAAATCCAATCACAAATACAGGATAAATAGAAAATGGCTGATGTGCAAATGAGCATCAAGCACATTTAATGAAAGAAAAAAAGAAAGGAAAATCCAGAGGATGATAAGGCAAGAGAGGAAAAAAAAAGGTTATTAATAGTGAACTACATGTTCAGAAAGGCACAGAAGAACCTCCCTCTCCTAAACAAGAACAGAAGAGATGAGGCTGAAGCAATGCATACCAATGTGAGGGTCTGGCAGCATTTTGGCCATAATCAGGCATTGGCCATATCTGTGCTGCAACTGCGAATGCTCTGCACAGTGTGGAGCCCCAGATACAAGAAGAGGAGCTCTGGTAACAGTATAGTTCTGACAGCACGGAGCTCAGCGAGGTTTTACCACCCACACCAAACTGTAGCTTCTCCAGCTCCATTACTGTTTGTTCCTGATGTGGCTACTTCACAGATCCTCGGCTCACGTGCACATAAGATACAAAGTGTTCCCTTGGCAAACACCCAGTTATCCTTGGACGAGGAAAAGGGGAAAGAGGAAGACTCAGAGCAAAGTTGAGGATGCGAATTAAGGACCCAAAAGACCTTATTCTGGGGCGCTGTAACTGAATACAGATCAGACAGACCGGGAACTAAAAAAGGACAAATGGAACAATCTGAGGGAAAGGAGCACCAGGGCCAGGCTAAACTGAAAGCTGCTCTGCAGAGCTCAGTTACAGGCGCTGAACTTAAACAATGCTCGGGCCCCTCTCCGCAGCACTGGGATGACATCAACAAAATGCACCTGGGACACACGGGCAAGGCTGTATGATCACAAACCACTAAAGACTCTGTTCTTTCAAGCTGGTTTACTCCAGCAGAATGCTTTAACACAAAATACTTAATTTTTTTTTTTTAATAAGAAAAAAATGCTGGAGAACGTTAGAAGAAAAACATCGCTCTGACAACCATTTTTCTGGAACACTAACTATTCACTGTGCTGTGGCGGCACTAAAAGCATTCGCAAATAGAGGGGGTGCAGGTGCTTCCTTCCCTTCATGGGGGGTCAGGGCGGCTCAGCCGATAACGTCCGGGGCAATTGGGGAGCTCGCGGCCCCGGTGTCCCCGGGCGGGCGGAGCCCCGGCACAGGCTGTGCCCTGTCCCGCTACCGAACGCTCCCACGCGACCCGGCAGCGACCCCGGCACCGGGCAGGGCCGCGGGGCACAGCCCGAGGGGCCGGGCCGGGCCGGGGGCAGCGCTGGCAGCCCGGAGCCGCTGCTGGCGGGCGGGACGGGCCCTGAGGGGGCCGGGGCTGAGCGGACGCGCGGCCGCGGGGAGCGGGGGACACACGGGCTGAAGGGGCTCCGGCTGCGAGTGCGGCGAAGGGCCGACTGCGGCCCCGCGGGCAGGCCGAGCCCTCCGAGCGGAACTGGGGCCTCTGCCGCCAGGCTCCGGAGGTCCGTACTCACCCGTGCGGCGGAAGGAGGCCGGGGAGCGCTGCCAGCCCGGCCCGGCCCGGCCGGGAGCGCGTCAGGCACCGCGGCACCGCACCGCGCTCCGCGCGTCAGCCGCCAAACGCGGCTTGCGTGTCCCCATCGGCTGTCCGTAAGGGCCGCGCATCACGTGATTGGAGGCGGGCGGAAGCGGCTCTCGGCGGTGCCTCACGTGTGAGGGAGGCGGGGGCAGCCATCTTTACTGAGGGCAGCGTGCGCCGCGCAGACGCGTTGGGGTGCCCGGCAAGGTGACCCGCGGCGCGGCCCCGGCGGGCGGGGATGGCGCAGCCCTGCCCTGGCTGGGTTCCAGCGTGAGAGCCGCGCTCGGTGCCCACACACGGAGAGGTGCCGTGTGCCCCGTGCGTGTCCGGGTGTGCGCTGAGCTCTGGCACGGGCAGGAGCCGGGGCGCTGCAGGGCGCGGGGCCCTGAGCCCTGCTCCTGGGCAGCCCCGCCTGTGCCCTGCTCTGAGCTCCCGCGCCGTTCCTGTCACAGAGCATGTGTCCCCAAAGGCGGGTGCCAGCCGTCCCATTCGTGCCCCGCTGACGCCCAGCGCACACGCCAGCTCTGCCCAGCAGAGCTCAAACCTTCCAAGGGGCACCATTAGCTGACCCTGATTCTCAGAGAGCCCGGGAGCAGCTGCTGCTTCATGGCATAACTCAATTTTCTAACTCCACACAGGAAAATGTAATGAAAGATGCTGTTGAATCTTTGAGGTACTTTTAAAAAAGAAGCAGGTTCAGAGCTTTCCCTCTCCTTGGTTTTATGATTACAATGTTTTGGAGGTCAGAAAGTGTAGCAGTTCCACCACAGAAGCATGTATTGATCAAGGGCTTGCAACTTGCTAATTCAGCTCTTCACAAATATCAACAGCACTGTTTTACATAGGCAAGTGGTCGGAAATATGATCTCCTACTAAACCAATGTTGTCTAACATTGAGAATGATAGAGTAGTTGCCTTAAGATCTTACATTTACTCTTATATTTAGCTGCCTTGAAACATGAGCTGCCCCAAACACATCTTACCTGGCAATCCTCATCATTCTGTATGTGGAGTCCTCAATTTAACCTCTCCTTTAACATTTTGTAAATTATCAAAAGGATTTAGTCTTTAAAATAAAAACAAACAAGAAAACGCCAAAGCAATTATTGTCTAAAAACCTGTTCTTCAAGCGCACTAGGAATATGGCCCCTCTCCTGTAATTCCCCATATGTAACTGTATGTTGATATCAGTTTTGTGATTGCTTTTGTTTCATCGAATGTATGGTTGTTGTTAATAAATTCAGTGGTCACAGACAAGTCACTTGAGTCATTCTGAGTGACAGGAAATCCTCCAGAAAAGCTCTGGTGGGGATTTCTAGTGTATCACATTATAAATTACCATTAGAGGGTCACAACTGTCCTTGCCCCTTTGTCTTCTGTCCCAGCTCAAAAAGAATTGTATCAGGCTTCCCCTCTCAGATATTCTTTCCATTTTTTGCATTGTGTACAGGTCCTTGCACAAGTAACTTTCTTTGACAGTTTGAAGAGTTCGCTGCAGATATCCTTGATTTTCAATCAGCGATTTAAAAGGCCATCCTTAAGCATGTTGCACACAACACAGTTCTGCTGGTTTGTCTTCTTTATTTGCATGCTGAACTCTTGATAATATTAGGTTGTGCCTTTTTCTTTCTGCACACTCCGTGCCAAAAACCACACAGCCACTCACTTCCTACATCCCACCTCACCATGGGATGGGAATCAAGAAAATAAAATAGAACTCACGTTGAGGTAACAATGGTACTATTGAAACAAAACAGTAATAATAATGATACTGCTACTAAATGTAATAAAAAGGAGAAGGAAAGAAAGGGATAAAACCCAGGTAAGACAAGTGATGACAACACAATTGCTGCCCAATGCCAAGCTGGTCCCTGATTCACCATCAGCCTCCTCTTTGCAGGTGATTCCCCCAGTCCATATACTGGCATGATGTCCTATAGCATGGAATTGCCAGTTCAGGGCACCTGTCCCAGCCATGCTTCCTCCCACGTTTCTGTGCCTCTCCTCACTGAAAGTCCTTGACTTAGAGTAAACACTACTGAGCAATAACCTAACCATCAGTGTGTTGGCAATATAAATGATCAGTTAGCAATGTAAATTCTGCTACTGAATCCAAAACAGCCCTGAACCAGCTGATAAGAAAAACCCCAGCTTATCACAGCATCCTATGTAGGAAGAAAGCTGGTATGCACAGACCCAGCTTGGGTATTCTCACTCAAGTCCTAAACATGGAGTGTGGTCCAGGTCAGAGGGAGCGAGTGTCTTTCTTATGACAAACTCCACCCCATGTGTTTTAATCAGATAACCCTTTTTTTTTGTATGCCTAGTTAGTGGACAAGAGCATTAGTACTAGAAAAGGGGGGGGAAAAAAAGCCAACATGGAAATGGGTCTTTTATTTAGTCAAAATATCTTTATTTGGCTGTATTTAGCAGAATACAGCCCCCATTATTTGCTTGTTATTCCCAATTTCTCATGTGTCCATTCTTTCAGTACAATATATTAACAGCTTGCACCTCATCAGCACTTTCCCGTTAAGGCTCCCAAAGCATTTACAGACAGCAGGTAACTAATCCTCACAACAACCATTAGCAGTAGGGAAGGAAAATGATCTGCAGCTGCAGTGGGAAGTCAACATCAACTTTTCCCAAGTTTTTCTTTGATTTCCAGTGTCTAGCTTGTATTATGCCAGGCTTGACAAACATGTGTCCCTGCAGTTGTATTTCATGCTTTTGAGAGTCATTTTGAGCACTCAAAATCTAGAGCTATTTATCAATATCTTTCTTCAGTAACTTTTGAAGGCCACAAAAAAAAGTGAGCAGCAGATCCAAAACTAGGAACAAGGCATAACTTCCAGTTACATGCTATACTAAGAGACATAATTCTCTGTAACTTACCTTTGGACTTCAAAGCCACAATCCATTCCCTTCTCCTTACACATTATTCTCTACTGGACACATTTCCAGCAGACTTCAGCCTCAGGTACTCACATTTGCATTTTACCAGCTAGTTTTATGTGGAAGTCTCCACAGTCATCAGTTCTATGTTTGGGTGACTGCAATGAGCATTAATGGAAAAAAAAAAAACCACCAGCACCCCAACAACCTACCAAGCAACAGGTGTGGTCTTTGAGTATTTAAAGCAAACTTCAGAGTTTATGGAAAAGTCTAGTATGTGATTGTTGTAAGGAAAATAATCTCAACCCCAGGCTTGATTCAAATGAAAGACTAAATATTAACTTGACATTAATACCTTCTTACCAGTAGTGCATCTGCAAAGAGATTCTTCATTAAACCCTGTAAATTCACAATTGTACCTTGCAAACAGAATTACTATGACTGTTCAAGCAAACAATAATTTTAAAATATCCATTCAGTTCATATAAATGATATCTTCATCTTAGCTCCATCATAAGAAACAGGCATGGAACACAGACAAAACCTTTTCTTAGTTAGGTTAACACTGAAAATTCAAACAGTCTGACAAACATGTTGCAAGTACTTTAACAGAAACAATATAAAATTTCACTAGCTTAAAAAAACATCTAAATGAGAAATCCTGGTTATTTCACTGAATTGCTAGGCCCTGCATTTTAAATGGTGCATTTACAGAACTATTCAGATGAATTAGTCTTCTTCACTAAATACTGAAATTCTGATAAATTGTGCAAGTATTAAAAAATATTAACATTTTAAATGTCAACATTACAATTTTAAATAGCCTTGCAAGTGCAATGTTATAAATATTAAAAAAACCTCAGAGCTACAATTTAATATAATTTATATGAGAAAATGAAAGTGCTTTTCAAGTATTTATGTTCATTTATAGCTGGATTCTCTTGTATATAACTCAGTGCTTAGATGGTACAATTTAAATATCAGTCTTTTTAAAAATTCTGGATGCATACATTTATCTGTATGGAATAAATGGTTTCATTTGCAGATATGTGTGCTAAATATTTAAATACAGAATACAATTTGTGATAAATATTTAAATATGAAATACTGTAAAACGGAAGTAGTATAGATTTTGTTAGCAATCACATCCTGATGGGTGTGTAATAACCTGGCAATGCCATGGGAGCCCTTGAGCCATACAGTAATTGTTAATTCCAACAAAATCCCAAATTACACGGTAAATACTTTTTCTTCAGGAGAGACAAAAGCATGTGACCATAATAATTTCTGCCAAATTTGAAGAACTCGAAGACTGCATGATCAATGTCAAAAGCCATGGAATCTAAAGAAAACTTCCCAACACTTTCTTCAGTCAACCCTTAGCCACAGTCACTCTGGAGCACAGAGCCAGTGCTGTCACCACTGTCCTGCTTGCCCAGTGCTTGCTGTCACTCCCTCTCTGGCCAGTCAAGCACCATTATCATCACAGTGATACAAAAACCTTTGTATTCCTGTTTGCCAGCCAGAGCAAGGGTGAGGTACGTGGGGAGATACTTGTTTATTAGACAAGAAAACCAAACCAAAACAACTCTTAATGAATCATTATATAGTTAAAAGTGCACTGAAAATATTTCCTATTGAACCCTATCTCTCATAAGTGCCAGACTGGCATCTTAAATGATATCCACTTGAAACACTGAACATATGTAAGCTGATACAGGATTATTTAGGTTGTCTTGCTGTTTGAAAAGCACATGACACAAGGCAGCATTGACATCTTTCATTAAGGATCTGGTGATGCTGTAGTTTTATGGTGAAGATGCAGCTCAGAAATGACAAGGTTCAGCAGATGTCCCTGCAGATGCCATTATAAGATTCCTCCAACAAAGTGCTTTGTCATTTGCCATAGACAAAAGTCAAACTGTTGCCCTACCTCACCACAGTGCTGCCCTGGCAATTTTTAATTTTCTTTCCAGATGCAGCAGGACTTCAATAAATTATAGCTCTTCAGAGTTAGGCAATTCTTTGTAATAAATCAGTTTTATGTTCTGTGAAGAGTGGCCAGCATTTAGATTGGTCTCTTCATGCAGACCTGACAACGACTGATGATATTCTCTAGTTGTCCTGCTTTCAAAGTTTGTGGCACAGGTCTCCTAGAAGAAAAAACCCAAAC